AAATCCAATCCAAAACCCAGATTGAACACTCCTAGTTGTTATAACCGAACCGAAACCAAATGAAAGAAAACTCATTGATGATCCTCATTTGATTGGCTGGGATGGCCCCACCTGGTACGTAAACTTGATTTTTTATTACAAAGTAAAACTTGTCACTAATCAAAATCCCCGGTTTGTTTTAGGTTATCGCTGGTTCGAATACAAAACTACTACCTCGCAGTAGAAGGCTCTCTCGAGGAAGCTGTTTGTTGCTTCTTTGGTATATTACAAATTCAACATAATTACATTTGGTTAGTTCATGGTTTCATTGAAGTGTTTTGGTTGGGTTCCTGGTTTATTTTCCAAACACTTTATGGTCAGCATAACTCTCTTCTGATGGAGCAATGGGTAATCAAAGAATTAGAATTTGTTGATGTGAAAATGAAGAAGATGGTGATGGTCTTGTTCAAGAATCTTTCAATGACTCTTTCAAGGGACTCTACCCATTAATGTTTTTCTTTTCCATGTAAATGTTCATGAAATCCATGTAAATATTTTCCTTCTTACTTCTTACAAAATATCTACTTAAAAACCCTTGTCCATTGAAAAAAATGTTGAACGTTTAGTTTCTTGCACATCAAGCTACTACACCTTTTGCTCTGTTTTCGCTGTTTTCATCATCAAGCTACTACTGATGAGGCTAATATCTCAAATTGATTTGTTCACATGTCTGTAAAATGCTAAACTTCTCATAGATCGATTCCAACATAGCAAAAGTACCAAAAACATAAAAGATTACAACTCTTCTAATTCATTTGATAACTACAACTCTTAAGCACAACATTATCAATCTCCAACACATCAGTCGGAAAATCACAACCACCATCAACCATCTTCTTCTTCTCCGATTGATTTCCTCCATCAAGCAAATCACAAGGCTTAGGATCAACACCACTAGTAACACCTTCGACATCACTACACATCCAAATCGCTTTCTTATGCTTAACCGCCATTGAAATCGTAGCATTCGATATACAAATCCCAGTAAAAGGATCTCCAGAGATTCCTTCTAACCTCCCAGCCATTGAAACATTCTCAGCTACAATATCTCTGTAATTGATTCCGGTTATCTCCGGTAAAGCGTGAGGATCGTAATGAGAATCGGCGTGAGCTTTGTAATTCCCAGTCATCCAAAAAACCCATTTCATTGTGTGTAGATTCATCCCTTTCACGTATATGTTCTTCACGAAAGCTCCTCTTCCCACGGCGGTTTTGATCCGTACGCCGGATTCCGTTTGGTATGCGGTGATTTCCTCCGCTCTTACGTCTTCGATTCCGCCGGACATTTCGCTCCCGAGTGCGATTGCGGCGCTGTACGGTGAGATACAGGTTAATCGACGGATTAAGAGGTGTTTTGTAGGCATCGCGAAGGAGATTCCGTATTCGTCCCAACCGCTTTTCACGGCGATGCAATCGTCGCCGGAGATTATGTAACAGTCTTCGATTCTCGTGTTCGTGCACGAATCTGAGGAAAAAAAAATCGAATTTCGTTAAGAAAATCGGAAACCCAGAAAGAGAAAAATGAAAATTTGAAGAAACTGGAACTATTAGTCCGATCGGTGATCGAAGACGACGAACCTGGATTGATTCCGTCGGTGTTCGGAGATTTCACCGGAGCTATGATCGTGATTCCTTTCACGATGATATTACTGCCACGTTGGATACTTTTGTTAGTTAATCATAAAACCGAACCGAATCGAAATTTTTAATTTTCGGTTTTGAACCAAACGCGAGTTTTCAAAATGATTTTGGTTCTCGAATCGCTTCGGTTCGGCATTACCAAATTGACCGGTTCTTCAGTTTTTCAAAAGAATCAAACCACCCGAAATTCCAAAATAACTAAAACTTATCGAACTATACCGAATTTTCTTTACAATCGAGTTTTTAATTTTCGAAACTGAACCGAATAACCTAATTGAATTTCCTCCCAAAATCGAACTAAACCGAACAAATTGACTTCTGAAGCAAAAAAACATTCAACCGGATTTTTTCTAACCCGAACAAACCAAAAACCGAATAAACCGAATCAAGCAATCCGAATTTCAATATCTACGAAGGATATAGTGAAGGTGCATGGTATTACTATGAGTGTGATACAGAAGATAATTATTACCTACTGTAAACCGGGTGGATATTCCACGATGGAGAATCGAGAAGCGTTAGATTAGAAATCTGTATAGTATCAGTAAACATTAACTCAATCAGGTACGGTCGAGTGTATTTAAGCTTCCCACCATGAAATTTCTGCCACCAAAACGATCCTTGACCGTCGATCGTCCCATTATTCCCTAAATAAAAAAAAATCCAACGACTCAAAAACATTTTTCCATATTTTTAAAATAACAAATATATATATATTTTTTTTTAAAGATTGAAACATTTACCGGTGATGATTACGTCGGAGAGATTAGTTCCGAAGATAAGACTAGCGAATCTTCCACCGGCGGCGTCACGGCCTCTACCGTAAGACGGTAAAGCCTTTAGAATTGGATATTCGTTTAAATCTTGAGCAGCGAGGATAATTGCGTCTTTATGAAGAAACAGAGTGAAATGGCTCGTGAGGTTAAAACTTCCGGTGAGCCATTTTCCGGCGGGAACAAAGAGTTGAGATCCACCGTCCGATGAGTATTGGCTGAGATGATCGACGGCGGATTGGAACGCTTTTGTGTTTAACGTTTTGCCGTCTCCGACTCCACCGTATTCTGTTATGGATGCACTGTGTGATCTGCATGTGATTGCTGTGTACTCGAATGTGTCAAATGACTGTAATACCCTTGTTGCTTGTGTTGTAGTTGAGAGGGTTATAACGGTGATTATGTAAGCGAGGACGAGGAGTA